ATTGTTTTAAATAGTATATTTAAATAATTTTTCTGCTTCACAATAATGTCAATTCACGAACCATGTAGATAAGCCAATGTTCTCATAAAAAGACACCGTAAATCTATAAAAAAACAAAAGTTTTTAAATATTTAGATGATAAAATTGTAAAACAACCAATAGTTAGAATTATATCTATTTTTATGCTACTATACTACGTGTACAGAGCGAGCCATTTAACAGTTCTACACCCTTATTTAAAGTTGTTTTATCATCTGGTGTTCTACTCTAAACTGTTACCATTTTCCTCTAATTTTCCTTGCACTCTGTATTTAATATTAGGAGTTTTTTCCAACTTCTTGTTCTAATTGATCCTCAATTTTTGTTGGAATCTAGAGATCAATTAGTTCTTCAAGGTTGATTTTGTAGCTTTGCCAATCTGTCCTTGTTGACAAGTTGACAACTTTGGGAAAATATTTTTTTTCAATTACAATATCACTCAATGTAATAAGTATGTGAAAATAACATGAATTCATATCCCATATTTCTTCTATACAATAGAGGAGAAGGTACAAATATGGGCTACCATTTGGTTTAATTGACATATCTGTCACATTTTTAGTGTAATTTACGTTTTTTTCTTTTTACAAGTGAACTAGAACATTTTATTAACATTATGCGATCCGTTGTTGTTCTTTTTGCGGAAGCCTTTCTAAAATTTTATTTTGTTCAAATAAGAGTGACATAATAGCAGTTATTTTTAAAGTGATACAAATATGGGCTACTACAGAAAATACCTACAAATATTAACTTAAACGTTTTATTCAGAGGCTAAATTGGAAAAAACAGGAGCCCGGGCCCCCTTTATACCGCTGCCGGGCCCCCATTTGAGTCCGGGCTCCGGGAATTAGTCCCGGCTGCCCCCCCTCTAGTCGGCCCTGGCAATTACAAAAGTAACACACTACTAATCAGTGCGACAAAAGTCACAAACATAGTCATCTCTGTCAGCGCCAGCACAGTTCACATAGCACCATAAACTGCACATTAAACACTGAACCCAGAGTTCACCTTTGCGGTCTTTAGAAAATCAACTTTCGCAGAATATGCATTCCGCATCTAAATCATCTGGTTTCTTTCGTCCAGGCATATCATCTATATATAAATCGTCATCCGCTGGCGTAAACTGTGTTTCGTCGTCTTCACCTTCAGACTCTTCTATCGACTGCTGCTTTTTATCGTCGGGACGGTGGTGTAGCGGTCTATGGCGCTTATATTCATTTATAGGCAAGTTTATGAGTCTGAGACTGATGGGTTTCGGATCCCAGACCGGACCATGTGGATTTTTAATTAAATTGCATGGTTCGGTTTAGGATTTGATGTGTGGCGTATTAATAGAAATTCAATTTCTGTTGATATGACATGCATATTAAAAAAATTCGCCATACTTTACCGTCTCGATGATGGCGGGTGAGGTTTTCCGGGTTTTCCTCACCTGTAAGTCAAATGGCACCATCAATCATCTTTAAGTCGCCCCGGAGCGCCACGGCAAATAATAATAATATCCGTCCCTTCCTCTACACAAGTCGTTCAGTCGACTTCAGGGGTTGAAATTCACTCGTAACGGGGTGAATTAGGGAGAGTATTATTATTATTATTATTATTCTTCTTTGATACTTTGGACATCGAGATCTTTTCAGCTGATTGAGAAAATACTTTTTTTTAACCTGTTTAACATTTTTCTTATTTTTATTGGTAGTGCTCAACAATAATTCATATTTATAAAGGGAAGAAGTAATTACCGCTGCTTGCGATGCTTTCCTACCCCTATATTAGTTGTTTTTTTTTTTTTTTTAGATATCGGAACTGGCGAAATATCAAAGAGTGACAACATTTTTCTTGGCATTCCAGATGGTCCAGGTTGAGCGTTGTCCTGATTGGGTGTCTCTATATTCGATTGAGATGTGCTTGGTGCGGTCATTCTTTCAGAAGCCGAATCGGACAAAACATTTATGGTGACACTCAATTCATTTTCAGCGGTGCAGTGTTCTTTTTCTGTTTCTATTTCCGCAGCAAGAAAGTCCTCTTTTGAAAAAATATTTACTGCAATTTCTCCAGTCTGGGTTTTGAGATAGGCCTTTCCAAAAAGTTTGCCAATGTCATATTGAGATAAAGGAAGATGATTGTGGCGAATCCATTGTCTAATCTCCTCACTGTAGTAAGCCTTTAACGCACTCATCCAAGTTTTGTCAAGAGGCTGTAGTTTATGGGTGGAATGAGGGGGTAATGAGATTATTACCACGTGATTTTCTATAGCCATATTGACAACTTCTAGGTTACGCGTATGACTATAATGCCCATCTAAAATTAGAAGAACAGGCGAAGTTGCAGACGATTTTACAATGTCAATGAAATGTTTGAACCACTAAGCGAATGACGTAGCCTAAACCCATCCACTAGGGTGAACTGCTGATATTGATCCTGGAGGGGTGACTTTCATTAGTTGAATATGCATATATTTTCTAGGAAATATGAGCATCGGTGGTACAAAGTCTTCCCTGGCACTCATGCAGGCTATCAAAGTGATTAAGGAACCCCGCTCCAATGAAGTTAAAGAGGCAATTTGTTTTTTCCCTTACGACCGACTACTTCAGCGACCTTATTTTGCACAACAGTCAGACCGGTCTCATCCACATTATACACGCGATTAGCTGGGAATTTGTATTTTTCATACGCTTCCTGCAAAAGCGTAAAAAAGTTGTCAACACTTTCTTTGTTAAACCCTTTGGCGCGAGCGAAAGATGTCCCAGTGCGTTTTCTAACAAGGTATTTTTATGCTTTTGCAAAAATAGATCTAACCAGCCCCTTCCTGCTGCTTGTGTGTTTCTAAAAGGATGCTTTATTCCTTTTCTTTCTGCCAAGCAAAATGCCATACGTTTAATATCTTTGCGGGTTAAGCCATAAAACTTGGCTTCTATTTCAAGGATGTAGCGAACTAATGTTTCTTCCAATTCTGGATTTAAAACTGTACCTCGACCAAGTTTAATTTGAACAATCTGTTCTACGCTCAGATGGTCCATTTTGGCTAATCGCTGCACTGTAGTCCTTGGAACGCCAAAAGTTTTTGCTGCTTTTAGAGTACCCATTCTTTTTTCTCTTATTGCTTGAACAGCCCTTTTCATATCCTCTGTATTCCACGTCTTTCTTTTATTGGCGCTTAAATGGGAAGTTACCATAAGTTTCTTGCGTGGCATTCTAAAACAAAACACACAATGAAATAGAGATTGATACAAATATGGACTAGCCCATATATTGCAAATAAGCGCAGTTAAATTAATCTATGTAAATTGAAAAACAAAAACTAAAAATACAAACCTTGTGCTCAAGTCCGATCGTTAAAAATCGACTTTGACATTAAAAACCATTGAGTTTCAGCCACAAATAAGCACCACTGCAAAATTTATAAACACTGTAAAATACCAATTCACACTAAACAAAACCACCTCTGCGAAAAGAAGAAACCAGTAATCACTAATAAGCGGTTGCAAATGCTAACGCACATATAATTGTGATGTCAACCAATAGAAGGCTATCGTTGTATTGGAAATATTACCGTAGCCCATAATCCAAGCCTAGCCCATAATTATACCCTTTCCTCTAAATATAATTTGAGGCCATATTCTGGATTATAAAAATACTATAAGATCAGGAAATTTGTTCGGATCTGTGGGCCAGTATGTAGGCTTATAGTACTTTCCCTTTGATTATTGTCAGTTTAGCTCCTCAGTAAGTATGTTTTGCATTAAGGTATCCTCCCATTCCTCCCACTCTGAATCTGTATCCTCGCCTATAGAGAAAATCAACCTATTGATTATTTTTTATAGCACGTCTTGGTGGACTGTGATCACAATTTCATAATTATTTGTTTTAATATTAACAGACGTGGCCTGTATTTCTATTAGTTAATAACCTATTTCTTGATGAAGTCTTTATGTGAATGGATTCTATGGTATAATTTATATCCTTTACATTTGATTAATGACTCTTTGGTGAAATGTGTTTCAACAATCGGATAGGACAGACATCAATTTTTTTCTAATTCTAGAAATGTTCGTCTTTTAATAAGCTAGTTGGCCAGGAACCCCGAACTAAATTTATTCTTTCCCTTAGTAGGTTCCTAGCGTAGGTTCGTTGGATGTTCCTGGAGTAGGCTCTACTGTAGATCCATAATTGATATTTCAATCAGCTTTTAATATCTGTGGGAATAGCATATACCTACCTATAGTTCTAAGGACTACTTATCTTACCTACTTGTTTATTATTAGTTGATAGAGATTGACAAATCTGAGAAAATATCAATACAGATATATTCATTGAAGTTAAATACATCTTTAAAAGTTTATTTTTCATTTCTTCATATCTCCTCCTGCTAAAATTGTCTAATTTAGGAATATCATTCGTGTACAAAAAGTACAGAAAAGGTCCCAACACACTGCCCTGTGGCCTTCCTGCTTAAATTTTCCTGAGGTCAGAATTCTGTTTAATTCTCAAGTCTCAATCTGATATATAGGATTTTAAAATATCAAAAAACTCTCTACATCTTTATTTTTTGTCTGAACCTTTTATGCTAAACTTTTTCGAATGCCTGTTCCATGTCAGGAAATGTTGTAGAGCAGACTTTTTCTTTTAACGAATTTTCTACTACATTTTCAATTTTGTAGACTTGATCTATAGTAGAGTGGTTTTCTTTAAACCCAAACTGATAAGTTGGATCGGATTGTATCATTTTTGTGGGTTTTAGCAGCAACTTTTCAAGACCGCTTAGACAATAGAAGGAGAAGAAAGATAAGTTTGTAGGAGAAAATTAGAACTTAGGCTTAGGCCTTAGGGGGGAGAAATTATTTTATTAATCGTCATCTTGTTTTAAAAAAATAATTTCTTTCGCTATGGGGGAGGGGGTAAGGCAGAATCTTGCATAACACCCAATGTCTTTAAATTCTTCTATAGAAGTCTATATTACTATTATTCATTTTCTAAATTTATTTTAACAATCCAATCATGATTTTTAAACTAATTTCTTTGCCACATAGAAGGTGATCCACCTTGTAAGAAAAAAAAAAACTATAAAACATTGGACAACCTGTCCAATCACAACAATTACTTCGGAATAGCAGATGTGATGGTGAATAAGTAAAACTTTTGAAATAAAAAAGATAATTTAAAAATAACTTTGGCAGAATTGAATAAATTTATCCTCCCACAAAAGATTGGATGGTTTAGCGGGAGACGTCTTGAAACTTCATTGCAAATCCGACGCTCCTGCAGGACTCTTGATTAAACGTCGGCGAGTCCTTGATACGCGCGATATTGTGCAAAGTTGACGGAACAAAATTGTGAGTTTGTTTTGTTTCTGAAGTTGAATTGAGTGATTGATTAACACCATGAATTCCAGAAAGAAAAAGGTACGTTTTAGTTTTTATATATTTTATTTGAATAATATAAATTGTTCAATATATTTAAATATACAGGGTGATTCAATAATATTGCGGATTATCTCATTACTTTTTTTCGACCTTGAGCTTTCGAAGGATTTTTACGTTTTGGTGTCCCTTGAATCTGTTTTGATCATTTTCGCAATGATGTCTGTATGTGTGTCTGTATACTGGATATCTTATGAACGTATGAACATAAAAACACTAACTTATAAAATTAGGTTTTAATAAATCCTGCGGTGAGCTGATTAGATTTTGGGCATATTCGGAAGATCTGGAGGTACTTTATAGAGGGTCGTTTTACTAATTTATATTTTTTAGTTTATTTGGGATTTAATTATAGGAGTTTGGACTAAGATAATAATAATAATTTCCTATTTTTATGAAGCACAGGTATATAATTGACTTGTTATTTATTATATCGTGTTATAGATATGATCAATACTTGTTAACTCCGTTTTTTTTATAGATATTTAACTTGTTTTAGTTGTTTTTTCAATATATTTCACTATTTTGGCACTGTCTGTTCTTTAATTAAGTTTTCTTTTACTAGTTTTTAAAAAAAAATTGTTTATTTTACACTCATTTAGCATTTTAACTGTTGTAATTTTTGTTGATTCTTGTCCGTATAATAGTTGATCTATTTTTGCGGTAAAATAGTTTTTAATAATTTAACAAGCAGATTTATATGGTTTGAATGATATTTAACTTGTTTTAATTGTTTTTATTTTTAATGCTTCGCTAATTTGGCTTGTTTTTGACTCTTTGCTCTTTTAATAGGTTTTTAATTACTATTTTTTGTCCAATGTAATTTATTTTCCACCTATTTAGCGTTTTAACACTGTTAATGACCAATTCAGCGAGTTTCTATTCATTATTGTCTGTATTTTAAATGGTAATTTTTCTAGTTTTTCGGTAAAATAGAGTTTTTAATACCAAATCACGTTTTTTAATATTTTTTAAGCAGAAATACGTGTTTTTTATTTTATTTATTTAGTAATATACCACCCTAACAGCATTCGCCTTTTACAGGGTGGGAAAATATAATGATAAAAAATATACTTACATTAATTCACAAATTAAAACTAATATTATACATCGAAAACATTAAGATATTGTAATTTAGTACGCGCCCTTAAAAAAAAAACTATGAAATATAAAAAGGGGGACATAAAATTACAATTAAGTTGGAACATATACCAGACGGTCTACAATATAGTTTCCCTAATTTTGAGCCAATTTACTTGAAACCTCATATAATTGACACATCAAGTACCTAAAACGGGGTGGGGTTACTTTGACAGGTTTTAGTTATACTTCGTGCTCTGTGAAGAAAACCATTCTCTTGAGAATCTTGGCTCATGAGTCATTGTAACAATTAAAGCCTTGGTTCTTCATATCAAAAAACAAAAAATCCCCCACCCTCCCCTTCTACCTTTTTTTTTATTTTTTGTTTGGTGTCGAAGTTATCCCGGGTACGGGTAAACTCAATAAACTCAATAAACAAAGTAAAAAAAACATAAATACAATGATTCGGAAACAAGTTTAGAACATAAAAACAAAGGAACCGATTTTTAATCGTCGTCGAAATATGCAGAGCATTCATATCTCGCTTCTTTCGAACCCCCGTTGCAATATTCACAAACCCACTTTCCACAGTTTATACACTTGATCCATGCCTTTCTGTTTGTGTATTCGGAGTATTGTATTAGGCAAATGGAACACGAACTGCACGAAGGACATTCATATTGAGGGTCCTTGGAGCCACAATTGCAAATACCGCAAACCCACTTTAAGCAAGAAACGCAACAAATCCAGTCATTGCTGTCAGTGTAAGCTGCGTACCGAGCAAAAAGATTCAGAATTAGTGTCAACTTTCGTCTGTTTTTGGTGAGCTCTCGATGGTCCAGATTCATCAAAATCAACGGTTTTAGTTTTTTTAGGTTTGATGGAGCGGCTTGCCTTCAAATTTTTCTGTGGTTTTTGCGTAGTGAGAGTTGTATTAACTTTAGGAATTTCTGGTAAGTCCAGTGGTTTCATTGCTGAGTCTGAGTGCGTTGAAGTGTTTGTTCCGACTGGCATTTGCATCTGCTGGCCTGGTTTTGTGGCTACTTTCCTTCCCCTTTTGAGAGTATTTGACGGTTCATTAGAATATCCTCTAGCCTCCTTTAGAAACTCTAATAAACTTGAATCCAGCACCCTCTCGGAATCCGACTGGTCGCCAGGAATTTTTGCTAGAACTCTTTCTGGATTAAAGGGGCTTAGCCCTGTTGCCCTAAAGCCAGATTGTAGGTTTGTGGCAACATTATTTACTACATGGGACCACAATCGATTTAGCAATTTTGAGAATTGTTCCTTTGGGATGCTTCCTTTTCGACGACATTCCTTTCTCCATGAAGCCAGAACTTTGCGCCATTTTCGTTTGATAGGAGCGAAAAAACTCACGTCGAGGGGCTGCATCAAATGCGTTGAGTTTGCAGGTAGGGGAGTCATATAAATATTATTCGCTTGAGCTGCTTCGATGACACAAGGGGAGAAGTGTGGCGCAAGATTATCTCCAATTACAATTTTTTTTTATTCTGGGGTACTGTTGGCGTTTATGTGAGGGATCAGGATATCAAAAAACCATTTTTCAAAAGTTGTCATATCAAACCATCCACTTGGCGTCACCTGATAAACTGAGCCTGCAGGACCTCCAGTCGTCCAATTTTCATATATCTGTTGGGCTTTATAAACAACCATGGGAGGAAGCAAGCTCCCCCTAGCTGTTCCACAAACCATCTTGAACTCTTTCGACTCTCTTGGTTTCTCTGGGCACCAATACTTTTTTAGAGCCAGGATCATCGGTGATGTTCGTCTAGTCGTAGTTGTAGACATGTTCTGGCAACGCATTTTCTAAGATGCCCCTAATCTTCTCAAAAAATTCTTGTAGTTCCGGCTTACCCACGGCAGCCCTCTGACGTTTGATATTGGAAGCCAATCGGGTTGTCAGGTTGTTTCTCGCAGCAAACTTATTTATAAAATTCAGACCTGGCACGTTGTTATTCCATTCTGGAATGTTCTTTCCTTGCTTCGTCACAAATTTCGCTACAACTTGACGTATATCCTGGTGTGTCATGGGGAAGCCCCAGTCGCTCACTGCTCTATAAAGGTTAATTTACTGTTAACAATAATTCCCAAGTCTAAAACTAATACATCTTATCAAATTGGTGCCATTAATGTTGTAGTCAAAAATTACCTGTTGCTTTTTACAATTTTTTATAATGAACGAGGGACTGCCATCTGGTCCATTAGTCATTTTTGATTTCAAACATTATAGTTTTTTTAAGACAGTATCTTCGGATACACAGAGGATTGACAAAGTTGGTACATTAGGTTCTTGAAAATCATCACAATTGTCGAAGGTTATTCAGCTAATAAAGGCAGATTGGAAAAAATTTGCAAAGGAACTAATTATGTCTACAGAATTTGACATGTTAACACCTTGATAACTCATTGATTTTGGTAGACTTGATTCATTACGCAACGTATTTAAGTAAGACCAAAATTGTTTGAGATTAACAGATAAATTTCTCTCGATATTTTTTGCAAAATTAGTTTCCCTGACATTTTGATAATAAATAAGTAAATCTTTGGACTGGGTTGACGAAGATGTCAAAGTATTATTTAATTCTAGTTGCTACTTGGTAATAAATGTGCTGGATTTAAGGTATTCCAACTTTTTTTTGTAAATATGACACTTTTCAGCATCCCAGACCGCATGAGTTACGTTGACAAGATTTGCATTGTTACAATTATTACAACAGAGTATCGTGCTATTACAATTGGTTAACAAATGATCTCCTGAGCATTTTGGACAACTCATTTTATCACTTAAGCAGTTAGATTGACGATGATTGAAACCACTGTACTTATAACACACTTTAAAATCAATTGCATCAAACACATTACACGAATCATAATTTAACAAACAACCGATTTGATAGATAGATATTTAACACAAATTATTTCGGAAACGAATCCAGTTCTTTAAGATCCGCATCAACAAGCTACATCTGCTTTCGTTCACAACATCTATACATAATAGTACAAAGGATTTTGTCTTCTTGTCCATCAGTATATAAAAAATACATCTTTTTTCGGGTATTCACATTTTAGACCAAGAATTCTTAATTGATTCCCATTATTACTGACACACCCTGTATATTTACAAGCTATTTATGATGATCTGCTCCATTTTTTAAGCATTAATAGATTACCGAAAAATAATTTTTTTTTCAAACTCCTAAATATTAAAATTATATTGTGAAGTATAAACAGAAATTTAATAGATTTAGTTATTTATAAATTTAATTTTTATTATAAAATATTATGTAATAAATTTGACATTTCTAGGACAACAAATCCCGAAGCAGATCCAAATCGACAATTAACGATATTGTGATTGCTCGAGGTGATTTAAAACAAGAAGAAGATAGGAAATATAGTGTAAAAGTCTCAAAATTAATGGGAAGGTATATAGCCATTTTTTTTGTAAGAATATTTTGTTCCAAAAATTAATTTTCATAGATACATGGTGGCCAAAAAGGATATCGAACCAGGTGAAATCATTTTGAGTGAACCTCCAATAGTGGTTGGACCTTGTACGGACTGCAAAGTCCAATGTTTGGGTTGCTACAAAAATTTAGAAGAACAAGCCTTTATAAAGTAATTATTTTTCTAACTTCTTCACTGTGCTTTCTAAAGAATTATTGTAGACATATCCTCCTTCTTTCAGATGCAAGACTTGCAATTGGCCATTATGTTCCCAAAAATGTTCAGGATTGAACAACCACCTTGGTCATAGCGAAATAGAATGCGCCATTTTGAAACAAACTAATTCCTCGAAATTTTTAGACTACTCTAACTTGTTAAAAATTAGAAGTCACATGCAAGCATTAGTTCCGTTAAGATGTCTCATTTTGAAGAAAACCAATCCAAAAAATTATGATATTCTTTTAAATATGGAGCATCATAATGCTTTAAGACAAAATATCCCGGAGGTGTGGAATACTAACCAAGAAAATGTTGTTAATAGGATAATTAACGATTGGGGATTAAAGGAGTTTAGCGAAGATGAAATTCATACTATTTGTGGAATATTAGAGGTAGGTATTTTAGAAATGAGTGGACTATAACAACGCATCTGCATTTTTATCCTATTTATGTTATAATTAGAGATTTAGAAGAAAATTGGTATTATCATTATTCGCGCTCAAAACTGACCAATAGAATAGGTACTAAATAATACAAAGTTGCCAAATATTATACAGAACGCGAATCAGAGCTGGCGCTAGCAGTTTCGCTGGTATCAAAAATGTTGAAGTTTGAAGTTTTGATTTTCCAAAAAAAGACGAAGACATTGTTTTGACACACTAATAATTATTTCGTTATATTTTAGGTAAACTGCTTTGAAATAGGACAAGAAGTTAACATAAGAGGTCTTTATCCAACAGCATTCCTGATGTCCCACGATTGCGTGCCAAACACAAACCATAATGACGAAGAAATTAACTATTTCCTTACAGTCAGAGCGTCAACCAAAATTCCAGAAGGACATGCAGTTACACTAAGCTATGCCTACACGCTACAGGTGGGTATCTACAAATTTTGTATTTCCTAATAAAAAAAATGCCTACATTTCGTTTCAGAATACTTTAAAAAGAAGGGAACATCTTTTAGACAACAAATTCTTCGAATGTTACTGCAAAAGATGTTCAGATCCAACTGAGTTGGGTTGTTATAGTGCAGCGTTGTTGTGTCCAAAATGTAAAACTGGTGTTGTTCTATGTGATAATCCGTTGGATTTTGATTCTTCATGGAGCTGTACCAATTGGTCTAAAAAATGTCCCGGGTACACCATACCAGCCAGGTCGATGAAATTATTACTAAACAGGTAAGGTGGTATGTATTTATATACACATCAGACGTTCTTTACAAGGAAAAATCTATTTCTTCTCGGATTCTATGAGTTATAGATTTGACATATCAATTTAAAAAGAAAACTGTTATTTATTGTCAACCTTCTCTGCCTTTGGCCTTCTTTGTCTTTACTTTATCTGAGCGATGTCACATCAACTCTCTGTTTGTACCTCTTCTGTATTTCCTTTCTAGTATCTTTGGAGTTGCTGTTCACTGTACTGGATCAACTCAATTAACTACAATGTTCCTTTTTGATTCGAGTATATTATTTCTTCTTCACTTTTCTTCACTTTTGGTTTGACTGTAAGTCTTCTACCATTCTGATTTGTGCCAGTATTCCTGCAAACCCTTACGATTACAAGAAGTAAATTTTGAACAATGACTAGATTTTCTGTTGAGGCAGACTGAGTTTGAAGTCTAAGGAGTCTAATCTCTTGTGACAAACTTCTTCATCCAGGATCACCAAACGTTTTACAAATTTTCATAGTTATATCTCTTCAACTACTTGATCCTAGCCCAAAAAAAGATTGTTTTCCGATCAGTAACATCTTCATCTCAATATAAAGGGTTAGCGTTATGAACTCTCCTAAGCAATCAAACCTTTATATATTTTTTGAACTATACAAGATTAATTTTCTCTTCAGGATAACTCAAGAAGTGGACCAAATAGACAATAATGACGTTGTAGCTATGGAGCAGTTTTTGAACAAGTACCGAAACGTATTGCATCCGACCCATTACATTAATTTAGGAATAAAAATATCGTTGAGTCAACTGTATGGGAAAATCAAAGGTTACTTGATCCATGAATTAAGTAACGAAGTTTTGGAGAGAAAAATAGACGTCTGTAGGGAGGTGTTGGAAGTGTTGGACATCATTGAACCGGGATATACACGAATTAGAGGTAAATAAAACAAATTGTTATTGAAAATTGGGCCCTTATTACTTAAGAGTTGAGAAACGCTGAAACGCTGAATTAATCAATAGGAAAAGTAAAAATAATAATAATAATAGGTCAAAATCTATACCACAATCATCCAGATACGAATGTAACTAAAATAAGTATCCAAAATAGAATAATTTTTCTTCTTTCTTTCTCTTTCTTCTTCCTTTTTGTCATCTTATTTTTTATTTTTATTTATTTGCGCTTTGTTAGTTTCTTCTTTTTCTTCTATTTTTGTATTTGCTTTTTGTTTTCTATTTCTTTTTTATCTTTCTCTTCTTCACTATCGCATTGAAAGTAAAAATAGATACAAATTATTCGCTCAAAGTCCTTTCCAGACTCATCTACATTTTTCAGTATCCTTCCAAAATAACGAACTCCTGTTGAAAAGGTTTTATTTAGCAAATTCAGTACCCACTGGGCCAGAGCAGTATATGCACAAAACTTGACAGTATCTAGCGTATGCTTATCGTAGAGTTAACTCAAAGTCAGATACGGAAAACATTTTTAATGTAAATTCAAGCAAATGTTTGCCCAAAGTCCACTTTGAAACGTACAATATTATTGTTATAGATCATTTAATATTTAAGAGGTGTTAAGTTAACTAATTGCGTTGCAAAGAAACTAAACCTGTTGAGTTAGTGAATTAACTTACTGACATTTATTGTTTCTTTACGAATCAACTTTTCACCACCAATAATTAAATGTTATATTTTTAGGTGTCACTTTATATGAACTACATGCTCCATTGATGATATTACTGACGAGAGAATCGGCGAAACAAACTTTGTCAAAATCTGAATTTAAAAGAAGATTGAAAGAAGTTTTTAAGTATTTAACAGAAGCCAGTATTATTTTAAATTACGAACCGAAATCCTCGATAGAAGGCAATATGGGAGTAGCTGCCAACGAGGCGTTAGGGCAAATTAGAGAATGGCAGAAGATTGTTGGAAAATTTTAGTAACAACTATTGTACGTTGTGCGTTCTTTTAATATAATTTGATCTCTAAATTATATGGAATATTGAGGAATGAAAGCGGATTTTAAAGAATGCAGAATATATTTCTACATTAAAAAGAAAAATTTAATGAAAGGCATAAACATGAGATACTAATTGAGTATATATTAAAAAAATGGTCAATTATGTAGGAGTTAATTAATTAATTAATTAAAAAAAAAACATTGTTATTTTGAGTTTGAAAACCTGTTTCATTATTTTGTATGGATTTAATATTTTCAAGAAGGGTATTATAAATATAGTCTAAGTTCGAGAAAACCAAACAAATTAAGACGCAGAGACAAACTGGTTGAAGACAAATAAAAAATTACTTCTAATTCGAGTATTATTAGTCACCAATACGTCTTTATTTTAAAATTCTGATATCAAGCAAACAAAATAAACATTTTATTAAAAAAAAATAATTATAATTTTTTTTATCCCCAGTTAAATGATTTAATGTCTACATTTGTGCAGTGTTCACAATAATAGAAAATAGATCTCAATACAGATTTAGGTAGAGCTCGATTACTATCTGAAGAGTATATTGCATAACAAAATGTCTAATTTCGCCAGGATGAGCTTATTTGACGACGTTGATCTAAAATCTAAAATCGACGTGTGTACATTTGTAAAATATTTTAAATCTGAAAAACTCGTAAATGAAAAGTATTGGTCAGAATTTCGACTATTGTTTGTCAAATGTTTAATAAACTGTATATTAATAAAACAACCGAAAATTTTACTTAATAATAAACATATTTGTGATTATCTATTTCAATTTTCAATATTCGACAATTCTAAATCCCACTCATCAGATGATTCCGTATTTACATTAAATATCAAGGAATCTATATATCCATCCATTAAGTGTTCTTTATGAATATACGCATCCTCATATTTCGAGCAATGATCAACCACTTTTGGCCATTCCTCGGGAGTTATATTCTGAAATTCTGAAATCAAAGAAACTGTATTAAGTTTTGTGTAAAAAATGAAATTAAATGCGCAAGGACATTTAAAATGTTGACTGTGGCGTTTTGCGAGTCTACTATGAGCAGAACACAAGTTCAATTGTGGTATAACCGGTTTAAGGAAGGCCGAGAAGATGTCAATGACGATACTCGTCCTGGTCGCCCGAACACGTCAACAACAGATGAAAACATTGAAGCAGTGAAGAAAATGATTTTGGATAATCGTCGAATCACTATGTCAGAGAGGTTGCTGATGATGTTGGCATATCGTTTGGTTCATGCCAAGCAATTTTTATGGATGTTTTAGGCATGAAACGTGCGACAGCGAAGATTGTTCCAAAATTGCTAAATTTTGAGCAAAAACAACGTCGCATGGACATCGCTCAGGAGCTGTTGAACATCGTCAACGACGATCCAGATTTCCTCAAAAAGGTCATAACTGATGACGAATCATGGGTGTATGGCTATGACATTGAAACCAAAGCCCAATCATCCCAATGGAAGCGTCCAGAAGAGCCAAGATAGACCGAAAAAAGCACGTCAAGTTCGGTCAAATGTGAAGGTTTTGCTCACTGTTTTCTTCGACTGCAATGACGTGGTGCATCATGAATTCTTGCCACAAGGTCGTACGGTCAATAAAGAATACTACCTTGAAGTTATGCGCCGTTTGCGCGAAGCAATTCGTCAGAAACGAACAGAATTGTGGAAAAAACGATCATGGATTTTGCACCATAATAACGTACCAGCTCACACATCGATGCTTGTGCGTGCGTTTTTAACCAAAAACAAAACCGTTATCATGCCTCAACCACCGTATTCACCGGACTTGGCCCCCGCTGACTTTTTCCTCTTCCCAAAACTGAAGACACCAATGAAAGGAAAGCGTTTTGCTACGATTGAGGAGATAAAAGAAAAATCGAAACAGGAGCTGTTGGCGATACCAAAAAGCGCGTTTCAGAAGTGTTTCGAGGATTGGAAAAAACGCTGGCATAAGTGTATTATATCTGAGGGGATTACTTTGAAGGGGACAAGATAGTTATTGATGAATAAATAAATACTTTTTGAAAAAAATTGAAAATAATGGTTATTTTTTGATCAGACCTCGTAAAAGTAAAAAATTACAACGAATAATGAATAGTGAATACCAGCAATGCGAGACTGCCTCACAGTGAAAGTGAAAAAAGCGTGACAACCGTGACGATAGAGCATTTTTATATAATCAGGTCCATTTTTTGTGAACATTTCTAAAAAAAAAAGTCCTCAGCTTATTTTTTGTAAGAACGAGGGTCTTTTACCCGGACATTTCTCTACTTTCGTATAAATCCGGTTCCTCTGCGGATTTTAAAAAGCGTGGCGTTTGCATAAAAAGCGTACAAGCAAGTCAAAAAGCTTGGCAAATACGACAAAAGCGTGACGTCTGGCAACCCTACTCACAGTACATGTCCACTCGTTGAGTATGTAATAAGCGATAATCGGTGTCTCCATCTATGAACGCGAGACTGATGGAGTTGGGTCTGCGGCAGTTAAAAGCCTTTTGACTTTTACCATGCTTTTACCCAATACCCTTCAAAAGGCCATCATCAAGCAACATAATGCTGGACCCACGGGGGTTTATAGCATATGAGCATTTTGTCAACAAGTTACTGCGCATCGAAACTGGCGTACGTCCGTTTTACAATAACACAATTATATATAAAATATAAAGAAAACAGAATAATTACAAAATATCTCAATAAAAATGTGTTATTAACTTGCCAAAAATAATAGTTTCACATTTTTTTTATTTATCAATCGTAAAATTGAAAAAATATGAATTTATTCAATTATTTGTGCAATGTAAACCTGGCTTTGGATAACAAAACCGAAATCTCGTTAATGCTCGAGTCGACTCGATAAACGAAACCCGAATGATAAAAAATACAATATGGCTGTCGATGTAAACAATTCTAAGTGAGTTTTACTTTTATTTAATACAGTTTTAGGTATAAATTTAGTAATAATTTACGGTAAGTAAACTTATTTTGATACTTTTGCATGTCTCTGTCCTATAAATGCATATATTTGATTGTAGTAGTAAATTGTTCTGGCCCATTTACACTTTTAGAAAAAACATTTTCATTTTATTGTCAACTGAAAAAAGGATTATTATTCGTATTCGTAATTGTGTTATCCCCAAATATTGAAATCCTTAACAAAGTTTTAATTCTGATATTCATTTTGATAATTATCCTAGATATGCCAATTTAATTGTATGTATTATAACCAAACTTTTTAATCTTTATAAATCTAAAGTATTTTCATTACATAAAGCAAGAAAATCTTAATTAGACGTTATAGAAATTAGAAGTAGTAAATTAAAAATTAGTTAAATCGCTGCAAATGTAAAAGTAATTAGTCACATACAATCAAAATCATGTGCTTTGGGAAGTTTTTCGCTTTCAACAATTGTTTTTTTTTCTTTTTGTTTCAGGATTCATGGATGGAACTATTGTTTTATTTCGCACGATTAAAGAAAAATTTTGTTCGTTTTGTGTTATTTAAAATAGTTGTTTATTCAGAAAATATATATTATGTTTATTGTTGTAACCAATAAAGATTCAACAAATAATATTTAGTTATAATACTAATAATGAGATGCGTGTTAAAAAAATGCTAATAAAAATGTAAAATTGTTATATTTTGTCGAAGTGAATTCAAAAGCCCGCCAATTTTCAAATTAAAATAGCATTACAGCTTTTTATATTACCGACTGAGTATTAGTTGCACAAAACTATCCCACATGTCGCTGAAGGCAAACATGTTGCCATATTTATACAAAGAAACGGCAACTCTTAATTATCCTTCCTCCATGGCTGGACCACTAAAGGCCAAAAGTAGGCATTTATCTTTTAATCGTCGCATTCATTTTCCCTTCAATTACAGCAAAAGACCAGCAATATCCCGGCAATTTATTGTTTGTCGGGAAGGTACGAAATTTATGGATTGGTGACACAAGCATAACGTTAAATCCTTTTCGGAGAATGTTTTACTTGCGTATTTTGAAGAATCAAAAACTATGAAACCATCTTCTCTATTGGGCATTTATTCGATGCTGAGAACTGCACTAAACATTAATAATAACATTTAAATAATTAATTATTTAATAGAAGAAAATAAGTAGGCGTAGAAAAAGTATTGTACGTTACACGAGTTGTAAGCTCATTACGCATTCGTGAAACTTTTTCACTTCGTGCGTAGTGGGTTACTTAAAAACCTTGTTACGTAATTGATTACCTAATCTCTAAATTACCATTGCCTACATCTTTAATTAGTTTTTTAATTAATATGTATGAGATCTCTTGATAGTTAAAAAAAAACTAGTGGACCTACATTTCTTGGAATCTATAAGTACACTTTGTACAAAGAAGTAGGTATCCAGGTGGGTATGTTGGTATGTATACAAGTATTAGAAATTAAAAATTAAAAAAAACCGACTTCAAAAACGTGCAGATGTCGTCAACACATCTTAACTAAATTTATACGGGACCACCCCTGAGGTACCCCCTTACTAACAAAAAAAGAATCATATAAATCGGACAAGGTGGTAAAGCATTATCGCTAAATATACATACAAAATGAAGAGTTTGAGGATTTTCTCATGGATCCAATTATTAGATTTTGACCAAATTTATATGGGACCGCCCCTGAAGTACCCCCTTTCTAACAAAAAAAGAATCATTGAAATCGGACACCGTGTTAAAGAATTATCGCTGAACATACATAAAAAAAAATAAAAAAATTAAAAAAAATATTGCGACGAATTGAGAACCTCCTCCTTTTTTGAAGTCGGTTAAGAACAGAAATTAACATTTTAATATTTAAAGTTTGTTGAGGTACTCATATTACAAAATTAACGCGTTTATGTAATTTTTTTGCAATGTATTCATTTTTATACTCATTCAATTATTTGTTCAATCAATGTAGGTATTTTACAAACACAATAATAATTAAAAATCTG